CGGCAGAGGAGGACGGCAGCCGCAGTACCGTGACGACACCCGCGGCAGAGGAGGTGGCCGAGGGGTGTCCGTTACCTGCCAGTTGTGTGGGAAACCTGGCCATGCGGTCTGGAATTGTTGGCACCGCTACGACGAATCATACACTGGTCCACCGCAGGCATATTATGCAAATCAATCCGCTGAGTCTGGTTCGAACTGGCACCTGGACACTGGCGCAAACACTCATGTGACGTCTGATCTATCTCGGCTGAATTCTATGTCACCATATCATGGCACCAACTCCATCACAACTGCGGGAGGTAACACCTATCCTATTGATCATACAGGCTCAGGTATATTAACCACACCCCATCATAATTTTCACCTATCCAGTCTCCTTCATTCTCCTCACATTAATTCCCATCTCCTTTCTGTTCACCAATTTACTAAAGATAATAACTGCTCTCTTCTTTTTACCTCTAAGGATTTTACGATTCGGGACAACCTAACCAATCAAGTCCTTTTCAAGGGCCCTTGTGAGCGTGGCCTGTACTCCATACCGGCATCTAGTTCCTCTCTGGTGGTCAATTCCGTCAAAGTCACTCCGTATCAATGGCATTGTCGTCTTGGTCATCCCTCAGTTCAAGTTACTCAGTCCTTATTGTCTCAATTGGGGTTTAAATTTCAACATCTTGATCATTGTAATTCATGTTCTCTTGCTAAGTCCCATAAACTTCCCTTCCCAGTGTCAGAAACTAAAACATCTGCTCCGTTTGAACTTATTCATTCTGATGTATGGGGACCTACTTCTGTACCCTCTTTTGGGGGATATCATTTTTACATTAATTTTATTGACGATTATACTAAATTCTGTTGGTTGTACCCTCTTAAAAATAAATCTGATGCGTTTGATGCTTTTCAAAGTTTTCAATCCATGGTTCGTACTCAGTTCAATGCGCACCTTAAACTCTTTCGCACAGATAATGGGCGAGAATATGTCAATAAAAAGTTTGGGCTGTTTTTACAAAAATTGGGGATTCTTCACCAAAAATCCTGACCATATACTCCTGAACAAAATGGTGTCGCTGAAAGAAAGCATCGTCACTTGGTCGAAACTCTTGTCACACTTCTTTGCACCGCCAATCTCCCGGCTAAATTTTGGGTCGAGGCGTTGGCGACTGCCAATTTCCTGATAAATCGCATGCCAAAAAGGTCTCTTAATCACCAATCTCCTTTTGAGTCTCTGTTTCAACAAGTCCCAGACTATAGTCTTCTTCGAGTCTTTGGCTGCTTAGCCTACCCGTGTCTACGCCACGAAATCACAAATAAGTTCCAGCCTCGGTCCAAACCGTGTGTCTTTCTTGGGTACGATTCCTCCTCCAAGGGGTATCGCTGTTTTGATATTACCTCCGGTCGCATATACATATCTCGTCATGTTCAGTTCCAAGAAAGTCAATTTCCATACTCCACAGTCTCTTCCCAGACAGAGTCTCAAGTTCCTTCTCCGTCATTCCTTGGTGTCCTTCCCATTTTCCCTCTAGCGTCGCCGGGTACTCCGCCACATGCTCACAGGGCTACACCAGAACATCCAACGCCCAACCTATTCCCCACCCGAA